TGAAAAGTACACGTCGCGACAATAAACACTAGCTCAGTCATGTTGTAACTAGAATATCCGCTGGAATTTTTTTTTATGGACCGTTTGAATCACTAAGTTATTAAAGTTAAACCGCTAACGGTTAGCCCTGCTAATCTATGATAACCTTGACTAATTACAGAAATGTGCACACATAAATAGTAATGTTTGTCCCATCATTGGTTTTATAAACTTTACAAACACTAGATTTGTCTAAACGGTGATAGTGACATGAAAAATTATTAGCGAAACTGTCGTCATTACTAACTACTATTAGCAAATGCTGTGAGAGAGCATTACTAGGCTTACTCTCTTACACTCTTACTAGGCTTGGATTTAATTGATGCACTGAACATGGTCACAACAGGGAATGAAGTGATCACAAAATCCAAACAGCCAGTAAGAGTGGTGTCAGCCCTGCATTCACAAACTGCGCCTGCTCAGCCTGCACCTATTACTGCACCTGCTACTGCACTCCCCACTCCTGCCCCTACAGATCAGTCTCAACCTGCCCGTGGCTGCATGAAAAACTTTGTCCATAATGTAAAAGTGAGACCTGATGTTAAACCTGTACAGCAGAAACTACAGAGGTTGCCCTTCTCTGTTTGAGGTGCTGTTTCTGCTGAGCTAAAACGACTACTGGGTGCTGACATTATCGAGAAAATTGATGCATCCCCATGGGTGTCATCTATTGTGGTGACTCAACGCGAGAATTGTACACAGATAAGGATGTGTATAGATCTCAGGCAACTTAACAAGTCTGTAGTGATTGACTGCTACCCCATTCCAGACACTGAAGAGCTGTTTTCAGAGCTCAGGGGAGCAACCATATTTTCTACAACTGACCTCACAAATGCTTACCACCAAGTTCCCCTGCATATAGACAGCAGGGATCTAACTGCATTCATTATGCACGACGGGCTGTTCAGATATAAACGAGTCTGCTATGGGCATCAGCAGCCTCAGAGTTTCAGAAAATGATCTCCATAGTGTTGCAAGACTTACCTGGCGTTTTGCATACCTCAATGACAGTATCGTCTTCTCATCTGGCAGAGTCGAGCATGAAACTCGCTTAAAGGCAGTGCTCCACAGATTACAGGAAGCAGGAATGTGCCTGAATACAGAGAAATTCAAATTCTACCAGGATAAGCTAACTTTCCTTGGTCATACCATAAGCAAAGATGACTTGCTACCAAACGGTGACCACATTACAGCTATTTGTGATGCTCCAGTACCTACAGATGCTGCATCCCTCAGGTCCTTCCTTGAACTGGTATTCCACGTTCGTACAGAACTATGCCACCGTAGTTGAACCAATAAGGGAAGTGCTGCACAAAGCCACATTCACATGGACTGCAGATGCGCAAAATTGCCTCCAGAAAGTTAAAACACTGATTATAGACAGCTCAGCACTCACGCTTTTTGACCCCTCACACCCTACCATACTGTCTACTGATGCCTCAGATTATGGAATTGGCGGTGTCCTTACACAGCTACATCCAGATAACTCCAAAAAAACAGTAGCTTTTGCTTCCTGCATTTCAGTGCATGCAGCGGAAAGGAAGTACTCAGTGGTGGAAAAGGAAGCACTGGCCTGCATCAGTTCCACAGAGCGCTGGAGGACTTACTTATGGGGCACAAAGTGTCAGGGTCAGCCCCTGTTGTCCCACTCTGTGTCCCTTCCCCGTTTGGCCAGCAGGCGTTGCTGGTCATCCCATCTCTTGTGTTGTCAGTCTTTGTGTTTTCCCCTGTTTGGCCCAATACTATCCAAATGCAGCACCGCAATGCCACCACAACACCACTTCTGGGCCACCAGTTGGAAGCCAGCAGTGTTATGCCGGAAGTTACGTCAAAGTAGTGTTGTAGTCAAGACCGCCTAAACCGAGACCAAGACATTGCCGAGACCGGAGGGTATCAAGACCA